CCCCCCTCAGATGGATACACATCACAAGTCAATACCAATTTGCACCATCACTAAGGACTGACCCTTCCCTCACAGTGGAGCAGCAAAGTCACCTCCCTTCCCACATCTAGAGTTCAGTGGTAGGCACACAGAGAAGGAGTAAGATGCAGAAACAGACCCAGAGGAGAAAGCATGGAGCCACCAGCCAACTCCTCTTGCAGTATATACAATTCAGTTAGGAAAGAAATTACAGAAGCTCCAAAATTTGGGCCAGAGAGGTCTTAAGACATCACACCAAGAGCACAATCCAGAAAAGGAAACTAACTGAACTTCAAAAAATCTTTTGCTCTGGGAAAGACTCTTTGAGTGGAAGAAGATAAGCTTAAGATGGGAGAACATATCTGTTAAAACACATCTGACAAAGAACCTGTATCCAGAAATCTCCATGCTAACAAAACCACCTAATCACAGAGCGGGGGAGAGGCATGAAAGACATTTCAGAAGTGATGACTCATTGCTGGCAGATGAGCACTCAGAAGCCTCCATGGAGACGCCACCACACTCCCATCAGATCGAGAAAGCCACAGCCGGCATCACAAAATGCTGCTCAGGATGCAAGAAACTGGGTAGTCCCTCTACTACTAGGGAACATAAGATACACAGATACTCTGGAATGTGGAAGACTGGCCAGTTTCTTAAAAAACGCAACATCCAATCACCACCAACCAAGCGATTATACTCCTAGTCAACCCAGAAAAATGAAAACTTATGTGCAAATAAAAACGTCCACAAATGCTCAGAGCAGCTTTAACACAATAGTCCCAAATGGGAAAGTCTCAATGACAGGAGGCTGAACTGCACCCCATCCACACGGTAGACAACCAGGCAGCCTGAGGAGGAGCAGATTCAGACTCAAGACACAAATGGGACAGTTCTCGAGAGAACTATGCTGATACAAAAAAGCCACCTCTGAAGGTTGAACACTTTATAATTCCACTTATACAACATCTGAAATAACAAAATTACAGAAATAGAAAACAGAGTAAGAGCTTGCTAGGGGTCAGGGAGGAGTGTGATGCAAGGGATACTGCATGACAGAATGTTCCACACTTTTGACTGTGGTGGTTACCCATCGGCACATGTAATCAAACTGCGTAACTGTGCATGTACACACTTATGTGCACACAAGTTTTGGTAATACTGAGTAAAGCTATGGATTATACCAATGTCAGTGTCATCTTGACATTATATTCTAGGTACGAAAGATGCTACCATGAAGGAAGACTGCATGAAGGGTACAAGGGGGCTGGGAATGTAGCTCAGTGGCACCACACCTGCCGGAGTTTGATCCCTGGTACCAAAAGTGGGGGGGGGTACAGGATGCTTCTGTCCTTTTTGAGTCAGTGTCTCATTACATAGTTCAGGCTGGTCTTGAACTTGGCAGGAATCCTCCTACCTCAGCCTCCTAAGCACTGGGATTACAGGCATGCACCACTGTGCCCAGTTTGTACTATTTTTGTAGTATTCTGTTAACCTGTAATTATTTAAAAATTTTCCAACACAGTGACATGTGGAAGAATACTGTGAAAGATTCAAAACCAAGTCAGGCTGGCAAAGATGGGAACTGGGGAGACCCTGGGCCAGGACCAGAACTACTGGTGGGTGTCATATAAGGAGGCAGCCTAGAAGTGGACAACACCTAGAGGCAATGGGATCTCAAGCTTTAAGGCTGGTGGTTGCCAAGTGCAGTTCAAGGCTGTACCCATCACCACCCCACAATCACTGTAGCAACCAGAGATCCATACACAGCACTTAGTCAGTTCGCTCCACTGTCACTGAAATAAAAGCAAGCACACCCCTAAAAGAGAAAAGTCAATAATGGAAGGAAAAATGACCAACCACAAGAGCTACCATTTAGAAACAGAACACCTTTGAGAAATGAAAATTCATTAACAGAGACTATGAAAAAATTAAAATCAATACGTCTTGAAGGGTAAGATGAAACATAATGTAGAATTAGTTTTAATTAAAAGAACTAATCAGGTATTGAGTATGAAAAAAGTCAAAATCAACATATGGACTGAACAGAAGGATACAAAGTGGACTGGAGATAAGCAAGACTGTCCACAGAGATGAAACCCAACATCCACATGAAGGAGATAGAAAGAAAATTGTACACAATATTTTCCTGGAGTTGACAGACCCAAATACTCAGAGTGGCAGGGCTCATAGAGGAAAAAACATTTTTGGAACCCTAAGATTGCAGAGGCAACAGCAGACAGCCTATACAGGAAGGACAAGTGAGCTTCAGAATGCCACCAGAAATGCCAACTATAAGAAAATGCTAGGAAAGGTGATCATAGCCCAGAATACATCCCAGCCAAATTAATATTGAAGAGCAAGGTAAGAGCACAGCAGACATTTTGAAAAAAATTACTATGCAAGATATGGTAAGAACAACATGCTCCATTCGAAATTCGGGTAAGCACTGCCTGTGCTAAATGTTCAGCACGCAAGACTCATTTCTTCCTCAAGGTAAGATGAGCTTAGCCTATCTTAGGTCCTTTGTCCTGGTACTTCGTGATACTCTGCCCTAAAAGCTTCATTGTCACTCATGTTTTAATGAGACGGTAGGTGCTGAACTCTGCTGAGCTGGACTGATGCCTCTGGGGGCCACAGCAGATGAGGAAGCAATCTTCTCAACAGTGCCTGATACAGCTCCACACAGAGGTAAGAGAACCCTCTCTAAAGAGCCACAACCAAGGAGGTGTCATTTCCACAAAGGCACCAGCAGCATCTCCTAACTATTCACAGGGCTGGAAGTGCATACCACATGACCACTGCTGTTCACCGACTTTTCTTTTAACACTTTTCTCTTACTTGCCTTGACTATGACAAAAGAGAAGAAAGGATAGAAAGAGAAGGGACAAAATTACCAGGCCCAAAATGGACTTCGGCATGGTCTTGCGTGCCCTGTGAACCTTGACATCAGCTCCAGGGGCTGCAAGCTTCCGGTCCTCTGCATCTGCTCCCCCGACCCCGGGCACTGGTGCTGTGGCTGGCGACTGAGGAAGTGTGCTTGGAGTCCTGCCTTTACCAGCCACTCCAGGAAGGGTTTTCGCAGCATGGCCAGGAAGTGAGGAGGCCAGGGTGCTCGAAGTCCTCAAGGGCTGCCCCTGTACAGCAGGTTTATTTAAGAAATATCCATTGCTACCAATGACCGATGTCTGCATGAAGTCATCAGCAGTGACATGGTTCTGCTTTCCCACTTCTGTGTCTCTTTCTGAAACCCCATTCTCTGCTATCCGGGCTGCTCTGTTGCTGCCCTCTTGGGGGCTGGGTCTGGTGCTCTCCTGAGTGTGTTTGGTTGCATCTGTGTGGCCGGTGTCACCGCTCTTTTCACAGGCCCCATTTGTCTCCCCATCTGCAGCCATGGAAGCCTCTCCCGCTGGTTTCTCGGCAGGACCTTCATCAGCAGCCATAGGGATATCTGCGAAAGAGGAGAAAGCATCACATGGCTGGCAGCTGGCCTCCATAGCCCCAACACCAGCAAAAACTTCAATCCATTCAGGGGGCTTCCCTAAAACATCTACAGAAGTCCTTTCATCTCAGATACAAACCAGCACTTAAGTTCAAATAGATTAAATATAAAATACCTTCTTAAAATTAACTTATGGTTAAGTCTGAGGAGTCACTGTAGTAAGGAAAATTTGATTTAGAGATTAAAATTATTATTTAGAGATTAAAAACAGGACTCCAGGGCTGGGTATAGTGGTATACACATGTAATCCCAGCACACTTGGAAGGCAGGATTACTGGGAGTTTGAGGCCAGACTGAACTATATTGCAAGATCCTGTCTTTAAAAAGAAAAACAAACAAACAAAAAACCTCCAGAAGCAGTTTCACATGGATAAGCATCTCTAGAAGCTACCTCCTCTGAAGACTCAGTCATACTCAAGACTGCCAGAAACAAGAACTCACTGTGCATCACGAGGCAGAAGAGTACACTTCACCTGATAATGGGCAGAGGCAGGAAACACATAATTACATCCCTGCAGGGAGGAGGAGCTTCAGCTAGGTTCTACCCCCACCTCGTGCTGCTGTCTATCACCTAACACACAGCCTTGCTTGTTGATCATGCTAATTTTCTGTCTTTCCACCTCTAGGATGCAGCACATCAACAGGACTGGCACATACCATATATGTACTTAATAACCTTTTCTCAATGAATCAACAGCTATTAATGTTTTTGCACCCTTAACGAAAGAGAATAGGTAGAAACTTCCTTAACCTGGAGACAGTTATACATCAAATTCCAAAGCAAATGTACTTACTCAGAAAGGGTAAATTAATTGTACATAAAATCAGAAATTAACTTATAGACATATATTGACACTGTTTACCATGGAAGAAAAAGAGCTACTGGGTGACACTAAAGAGGGAGAAAGAGAAGGGCAAACACTAGCATGAGGGGGTTGAACAGTCTCGTTGCACCTGATATATTACAAAATTTCAAGGAACAGAGGAGCAGTAGAGACAGGAAGGGATCAACAGAGGGAAACAAATACCAGACAGACCCTAAGAGGTCTCACAAACAGGGTGAGGCATTGGTGAGTAAGGAAAGCATGAGTGGATGAACCCCAGAGCTGACAGAAAACAGCAGGTTGCCACAGAACCCAAGAAGCAAGTAATTAAGAGGCTTCAAGCTGGGTGGATACCTATAACACCCACAGATCTTCAGGGTATGGGCAGGATGCAGGCAAAGAGACAGCCTGGTAACTGGCAGAGGGCAGATCTGGGCCAGAGGCCCCAAAGGTCCTGGTCACCAGCCCTGACAGGTCCAGTCATAGCACTGCATTCCAAGTTACCTGGGCAGCTCCTCTCCAGTGTAGTCAGGTAGACCATGTGCACACTCAGGGCCCAGTGCTATAGGTGCATGCATCTTAGCACACACAGAACCAAGTAGCCACACCTACTCCTCACCAAACAGCTGCCTCCCCACATTCCCCCCCACTGCCGTTTCAACGCTTCTCCCTAGGTCCTCCAAGCATCTCATTTACCTTGTTCAGAATGTCATATAAATGGAGTCACACAGCATGTGGCCTTTGAGTTATGGCTTCCTTCACCGGGCAAAACACACGTAAGCTTCATCTATGTTGTTGCATGAACCATGCACACTACCTGCTCACCGTTCCATCATGTGGATATACCACAGTTTGTCTATCCAGACTGTTAGCAGGTGAGGCCTAGGTGGGTTCCAGTTTTCAGTGGTATGAATTAAGATGCTGTAACATTCATGCGACCATTTACTTTCACTTTCTAGGTATACTTTTGGGTCAGGTTATGTAGAGGTCTTGCTCTTCATGCTTTACTGTTTCTTCCTTCTCAAGCAGATCGCGTGCGCGTGCGTGTGTGTGTGTGTGTCTGTCTGTCTTACTGTCCATCTGTGTGTGTGTGTGTGTGTGTGTGTCTGTCTGTCTGTCTTACTGTCCATCTGTTCAGGAATGCAAAGAGATGAGAAATTATACAGTAACTCTGGGTAAAACCAAAAGGTTAGCAACCTTTGGACAGGTGCTAGGCAGAGTACATGTAACAAAGTACTTCTTCATCCGTGGAACACAGTCCTTACCTTCTCTTAGCAGCTCCGTTTTCATGCAGCAATCCTGTTTAGTTTCCCCTTTGGCCGGAACTGCCTGCTTTAAAAACAAAACAAAAAGCTATCAATTTGGATAAGACAGACAGACTACATAAACCACTAGCATGATTTCTCCAAAACAAATCATAGCTACAAAACTCACTATTGTATTTTCAAAACTAGGTTTGACCTATAGAGAGCACAGTTACCTCCAGGAGGTGGGCAGCACTGAGAAAATAGTCCAAATATCCACCTATTATGTAGTTCTGAAGATAGGGTTTTAACAATGTGTTCGTGTATTACTTATATAATTAAAAATCTGAAATGCTTTGTTATGTCATAGGAATACTATAATCTATTTTGACATACATTCTGCTGCCAACACAATAATTCACCTAAGTCTGTGGTGGCGAACCAGTGGTATGTGTGCTGAAGCGAGGTATTTATTATACTGAAAGCTCTAAACGGTTCGCCATCATTGGCCTAAGTATTTCAAATGTCTAACGAATTTTTTTAAAAGGTACAGAAATGGATAAATCCAGGAAATTCAGTAAGATAGTTGTCATTAAATATTTAAATGTCTACCACATGGACACACACACTGTATCATAGAAGGTGTCCAGAGATTCATTTCTTAAAACAAAAACCTCTCCTTGAAGATTTAGAGTGATTGGAGAAGTGAATATAAACACACAAAAAAACTGCTCTTAACAATACAAGTCTTTACAGATGCAGCAGTAGCAGGATGTCAGCAAAGGCCTTATCCACATTTGGGACAAGGGGAACAGATGCAGGCTCCTCTGGTATCGGGCTCCCAGAATTTAATGGCTTAACACCCATCATACTTCTGATAACTTCAAAAATGTTTCCCCAAAGACACTGGTGAATTTTTCAGAACTGAGCCTTGACCTCACTGCTAATTCTGCTTCACACCACACCTGGCTCCTCAGAGCTGGCCATTGCCAACTTGTCACTTATAAGTCCCCAACCCCATATTACTCCTCCTTCCTCAATCCTGCTGAAAAAAATGTCTGACATCCTCAGAGTTTCCTGAATGTTCCCACCAGCAGCCTTCTTGGGAAGGGCTGGTTAACTTTCTTACACCCTAGAAACACAGGTCAAGAAAGGGTGTGAGCAGACCCAAGCTTTCCTGGCCTATTCCTGCCTACTCCCTCCCACCTTCCCTGAAGCTTCCACTGTAGGTCAGCCTCTAACGTGGGCTGAGCACCTCTGAAAGGACCTGTTTTCTGAAGTGCAAGCATGTACATTCAGGGAGGGCTTATAGGGACTGCTTGATCCCGCCCTCTAGCCTGCAATTTATGGGCTCTGGTAGACGTCTGCAGTTATCTCTTCATAGCACTTGGAATGAAGGTCAACCACTATGACTGAACAGCCATCATGTCCCAGGCAGAAAAAAAACCTCACTGATACACAGGCCTTGTCCCACACCCAGCAAACTCAACATCGAATGCAGGGACCAGGCTAGTTCTGGGTGGTTTTTATATCTTCAAAGGCTGGTAAACAGCAAGGATGACAACAACAAGAACAACATGTAACGGAGACCTCTGAGGTCAAGGCCACCTGTGAATAATTTCGGGAAGATTCCTGTTCCAGTAGAAGAGAAGGAGCAGAAACAAACTGGTTAACTTCCAAGAGTACAGGGTGCTGTGAAATCTCTAAGCTTTACCTCAACAGACACAGCTCACCTAGCACTCCTCCCGTCTCACTGTTCTATCAGCTGGCTCCATGAGGAAATACTAATCCTTTCCTGCTACATCTCCAGCACATCTCAGCACCCAGCATGTGGGAAGAGGAATACAGGACTTTCCCGAGGGTTAGGAAGGGCCTGGGCACCCCCACAAGCCTATAACTTCACCTGTACATCTGTTTCTCACAAAGGATAGAACCAAACTGGGAACGGCCTAGATGTGCAATCAGTATCTGCTATGTGGAGCAAGGAAAGGCCAAGCTACAACTGCTCTGTGCTCCTCGTGGAGGAACAGCACAGAGCAGGACAGTGCCAGGGATGCACATGGAAAGCTGAGCCCAAGACCAGAGCAGGAAGTAAAACTGAAATCCAAATGCTCTCTGTGGTGAACCCACATTTTATTTAACAAAAGGAAACACGTTCTGAGCACTTTTGCAAAGGGGCCAGCAACCTATACAGTGCTCAGAACTCCTGATGTACATGGACACTGAGCTAGGAAAGCCTAGTGGATGAGACCTACAGCCCAAAATATTACAAGTCTCATCCTATCCCAGTTCTTGTTATTGTCACTTGTTTTTCACACCCAAACTTGCAATGACAGAAGCAAACAGATCCACTGGCAGATAGCAAGTCCTGATCCATCCCCAGCTCAGCGATAACACTAAAAGGACCCACTTGACTAGAGAGGCCTGTCAGTCCCCTGGAGAGGAGCTTTCAAACACACCTGCACGAGGATGAGGACCGGGTTTTAGACATGGAAACCGATGCCAACAGCAGTATAAACAACAAAAACTCTTAACCACATTAGGGTCCTCAAATCAATGGCCCTTGGCAGCAACAGGTACACCAAGAACTGTACCTTGGATCCTATGTACCATCTCCTCAAGAAATGGCCAATGCTAGGTTGGGGCAATCAAAGTATAAATCAAGTTCAGAGCATCATGCACTGCCCAAAAGGATAACAAACATGTCATGAAAACACAGCGAAGACTGAAGGAGCTCCTGCTGGCTAACTCTGGGAAATTCAAGAAACAAAAAAATGATGACAGAAATAGACTGTATCCCACTGAACACAATGAGGACAGCATGAGTCCACACTAACATTAAATAAATGGACTGTTACTAAGAAAATGAAGGCAAAGCTCTTCTTTATGCTAGAATGCCAAACAGTGAATACAAAGTGAGCACAGAGGTTAAAATTCACCATTTTAATACCTCCATCATCGTGGTTCAGGTCTGATGATCATAAATGACCCTAAAGCTGCTGGGTCAGAGTTTGATAAGCAACAAGGATTTACATAACCTCGAAGTATTCTTAACTTACATAGGAAAAACTAATCACAGTGGGGAAAGCCAATGGCATTACCTTCACTAAAGGAAAAAGTCTGTGTGACAAATCACAGGCCAAAGTGACAACACATCTGGTAGACATACAATCCACACAGCATTACTTCTGTGGTTTCCTGCAAGGTACACAACCTGGAACTATTCATGAACAGCATCTAGCAAGCTCCAACCAAGGGGCCTTGTAGAAAACAGGTGGTCTGTATATTTCAAAATACCTCTTCATAAAAGACAAAGACTGAAGAACTGTCCCCAGTAAAGAAGAATGAAAAGATGTGACAACTTGCACGGTGCATTGTCCCACACAGGAAAAGCTACTGCAAAGGAAATTGCTATGACTACCGTATACAAAACAGACTGGACAACAGTATCAGTGTGAAATGCACTGATTTTATTCACTGCACTGTGGTTACATAGGTGAAATGCCTTGTGCATAAGTAAGGATATAGTGGTATAAAGTCTGAACATACCTTCAAGTGGCTGTGGGGGGAAAGAACATCATGTGTGTATGCATTTGTGTATGTACACATGTATCTCTGTGTGTGTATGTGCAGTATGCATGTGCATATTTGAAGGACATGTCAAGTAGTGCACCTGGATGAAGCAACCCAGGGATCCCTGTATTCATCTTGCAAGTCTTCTGCATGTCTGACATTATTTTCCATTCAGTTTATTCAAAAGGAAAAGGCCAGAGAAACCTGAGAACTGGAAACAGGTAATGTAGGAGCAAGACCCAGACAGGGAGGCATCAAGAAACCAGACTTGGTCTCCACAGAAACAGAGCATTGTGATGGAAATGTGCAGGGGTAGACGAGTCTCCCACAGAAACTACACAAGGCAATTCTTGCAGGTGCAGCAAAGGCCATATTAGCCATACAGCCACACAGCTCTGGAGTCAGGTCCTGGGCCACATGTCAGTGTACCTGCACACTGTGGGCTGCATCAAAGTCAGTTGGCTCCCACAGTGAGGCTACTGCGGCAATGACAAGCTCAGGGCCTGGTACAGTAAGAGATGCTTTGGAGAAAGCAGACATGGCAGGGTGCACAAAATAACTCCACAAAACATCAAGGCCACAGTGTTCCACTATAATGTGCCTGGTGCCAAGCACAGCAGCCCACAACCTCAGGGGATCCCAGGTCCCAAGCATAAAGTCACCTCCCAGGAGCAATGAGAAATAGAAACATGGAGTCCCCACAGCTTTACCATGGACAAAAATGGCCCTCCTATGGCTCAGGAACTCCCACAACACAGGAAAGCCTAAGAAACGCCCACTTGGGGAACCCACAGCCTGGGGAACCCACAGCCTGGAGAACCTTAGCCCAAAATATCCCACTCCAAGCAATCTTGGAAAACCAAGAGAGCCCTCACATACCCCCTGCCCCCGACTACACACACAGAAATCCTCTCAGCTAAAGGACAATGCTTTAGCCCACAGGCCAGGAGCCTTCTACAGGCAAATCCTCAGTGACATGGCAACAAGAGGTCTAAGACAGCATGGGGTTCCCACCTTGTCCCAGAATGACAGGCCTGATGTGGTTTAGGAGTGCACATGGTCCCCATCCCTGATTCAGGATGATGGACAGACCTTTGACTCCCTGCTCCATCCCAAGCACCTCCTCCCTCAATATAGTGTCATACATGTGCTTATAGGGACTTCCAGGAAGATGGCTGAGTGGTAAGCAGTAGAGAAAGAGCTTCTCCAAAATTTGGTGTCCTGATGCCGGAGTACAGCAGACTGAGGAGAAAAAGGAAAGTGGGTCCCCAGGACCCAGGAAGGATCTGAAGTCCATGGGGAGAGCAAAGAGAGAGACTAACAAAGAGGAAGGAGACAGCCAGCAGCCCTTTCTCCCAGAGCCTGGACTCACAAGGTGGTAACAGCAGGTTGAACCTGCAGATACACAGTGACTACTGGCAACCTCAGAGGCCTCAACCAGGAACTGCACCAGTGGACCAGAGCAGTGGACGCAGTGGCCTGCAGCAGCTGGTGAGATATGCCCGTTCAGACATC